CCGCTCCGCCCTCCGGGGGTGGCCTCGCCAGCATGGGTGGCCTCTGGCGCGGGGCCGAGGGGAATGGGTGCCGCCCCGGCGGAGCCCAGCCGCTTGCCTCCCTCGGCTGCGCGTGCGCGCGGCGTGCATGGCATCGGTGCGCGCCGTGGGATATCGCGCCACCTCGCCCCGGGCTCATCTGACTCGCCCTGCCTCCCCCTCCATCCAGACACGCGCAAAGGGGGGGGGGCGGGCTTCTCTTGAAGCACCCCCTGCCTTTTTAGAAGACGCGGGCCTGATCTATACGTAGATGTAGGGGCGGCGCCTTCTAAGACGTAGCTGCCTCCTACCCCCATTGTGCGCGCCGCCAATCTAGGCCTCCCAGCGGAGGTTCGAGCAGTTGTGGTCGAAAGATCGTGCCGGATCGCCGATGAATCGCCGATGCGGCTCGACGTGGATCCCGATGTTCTCCACACCGACGGCGCCGATGCACCCGACGTCGCCGATGCATCCCCGATGCATCAGCGATGCATCGGCGATGCGGCACGAGCCTCCGACCCCCTAAACGCAGACTTCATCTAGGAGGTCTCTATCGGAGCTCTTCGCGGATTTCTAGGACTCTGCGCGCTCCGCGCGCCGGGTAGGGGGACTCAGTGCAGCTCCCAGAACTCCGCGCGGACCTCCGACTCTTACTGTTGACCGCCGTTTTCTCTTCCGCTGCCTCCTTCGCGATGGGTCCCGAGGGAAGCGCGTCCTGCGCTCAGTGGGCCCCGGAAACGGCAGGGCCGTTTTTTCACCGTTTCCGAAAAAGTGTCCCTTGACAATGGAAACGGCAAAAAAAACGGCGACCGGACACGGCAAAAAAACGGCTTCAGGCTTAGAACCGGAGCCGGAACCGGTAAAACAACGGCGACGGAACGGGTAAAAAAACGGCGTCGGAACCAGCAGCAAAAACGGCAAAACGGAACCGGTAACAAAAACGGCGGCCATGATATTTCCTCAGATTTCATGGCGCCTCTTCTTATTTCATTACGTCCCTGGCCCCCTCCCCTTGGGCCGCCCAAATGCCGCCGGCCATGATTTGCACCCCCCCACCCCCCTCTTGCCCCCCCCCCCCGAGGGGGGGGGGGGGAAGCAGTGGCGAAGCGTCCTGGCTCGCCCAGGGCGAATCGAGTCGCCAGGGTTGCCGATGCGATGCGGGGGGGCCTCCTGCCACGGTGCGGTTGCGATTTCGATCAGGGTGCCGAGCGAATCGATTCTGGTCCCGGGCAGGGTTGGCGGCAGTCCGCTGGCACCACGATGGCATCGTGGTGCCAGTGCAGTTGCTCGAACAGTGGCGAAGCGTCCTGGCTCGCCTATAGGCCCACCGAAGAAAGTAAAAGCCTTTTGTGGTCTGCGCGAATTGTTCTCAGAGCATGTCTGTCTGGGGCCGTCTTGTTTGCACCCATCGGGCTCATGTTCTAAGAACATTGCTCTTGTTCTTGGAACATGTTTGGGTTCTAAGAAAATTTCGTGGTAGGCCTATAGAAATACCAGGACGGTCGGTCCCTGCTCAAGGTGGGAGCGTTGTTTCGGGAGTGCGCCCAGGATGCTTCAGGCCTCAGGGGATGCCTCGTTTGATGAGGGTGGCGGCGGTACGCACGGCCAGTCCACGACGGGAATTCCACCAGCTTCCCGACCCCGAGGCTCCTTGTGTCATGGTTCCTCATCCGATGCCCTCACCACTGAGGATGTGAGAGAGGTGCGTGCTGGGCCGTGGAAGGAGCCGCGAGGGGGAGCCGCGACTCCATTGCCCAGGCAGGGGGTTGGGGGGAGGGAGTCCGCACATGGTCAAAAAGACTCCCCCACCCACTCCCCCTCCTCATCCTCCCCTCGTCCTCCCCCATGATCTCCCTCCGTGTCCTCCTCCTGGCCATCCTGACCCTCATTCTCCTCGTGGCCCTCCTGGCACTCCACCCTCGCCATCCTCCTTACCCCGCCCTCCCTCGCTGCCTCCTTCTTCGACGCCGCCGACCAGGGCGGACAGTGGCCGCAGCGTCCCAGCACATGCGTAAACATGTGCAGCAACGGGCAGCAGCGGCAGCCGCAAAGGCATCCGACGTCTTGGGAGTTCCAATGCGGGGGGCCCCTGGAAGACCCAGGGCCAGAGTTTCGTCCCGTGCCGGTCGTCGACGGTTCTTGGGCCCGGCGAGGACCCCCAGAGGCCGACGACGGCGCAGAGCGCCCCCTGTCTTGTCCAGCGCGCCAGAGGTCCGAGTCTTCCTCCCCCTCTTCCCCCAAGCCTCTGGAGGTCCGCGAGGACTTCCTCGGAGCTGTGCTGGCACCCTCTGACCGAGGTGCCCCTGACGCGCCGCGCGCGCTATAGGGTCCAGCCCCGATCCGAGGAAGTCCGCGCGGCCCTCCGGAAGCTGATGCACGTGCAGATGCCTCTTCGCCTGGGCCCAGGACGGGCCTGGCCAGGGGCGATGCGTCGGTGCAGGTCTCGTCGCTCGAGGAACGCCACCGAAGACCACCCAAGAGAGACCCGGGAGCATCCCTGTTGGACTCTTGCCCGAAGCGTTTCTGCACTCTCTCCCTCTCTCCCTTCTTCTCCCTGCCTCCTCCTGCCGAGCATTTTCTTTGGGTGGAGGGCAAAGGCTGAAATCTGAAATGCCACTTCGATTGATTCTCGAGGTTCGAATCTGCAAAAAGGTGAGTCACAAGACGGACCGGTTTTCGAGGTGCAAAAGCCCACATGGATTTCCATCTGAGCCCCCCACCCCAAGAAAATGCTGATGCCTGCTCTCTGTGCTCTCCGCGCGGAGAGCGCCGAGAGTATGTGGCTGAGCCGTTGCTTCTTCTACGCGCTGTTGCCCCTCCATTCTCCATCCCTCCGCTCTCTTCCAGGACAGAGCCAAGCAGTAGTATGGGGACGAGTTGCTTGGTATGCTTTACTATGTGGGGGCATATTGGAAAGCTAGTTTTGATTTTTCGTGCCAAATCCGCCTGTAGGGGGAAACGCCCGACCTAAGTCTTGTTGTTTTTCACTGCGGGGTCCCTGGAAGTCCCGACCCTTTCCCCCAAGGGCCCGCTTTCCGTCCTGAGCCGCGCCTGTCCTGCCCCTGTTGTGTCTAACCTGGTCCCGGGGCGCCCCTCGGCTGACCCGACCGCGTCTTGGTAGGGGGCCACAGTCGAACCCTACCCCTGCCCCCCACGATTTCTGAGGGGAGAGTGTGGGTGGGGTTCACTTCGTCCGGGAGCTCTTGAGCGAAGTTAACCCCACCCTCCCCCTCAGAAATCGTGGGGGGCAGGGGTGGGGTCCGCATGTGGCCCCCTACTTGGACCCTAGCCGCCGCGACAAAAACAGTCTGGTTGCCTGTCCTCCTGCCCCCTCCGCCGCCCCGCCGCCGCAGCTCGCACCCACACCCCGTGCCGCGGATTCCTCACGGTGGGCGGGGGGTGACCTTTTTGGGGCCGAGGCTCACCAGAGACAAGAAGAGTACCACTACCACGAGCTAGGGGCGTGGCTGTCCCACCCTCTCGAGCTGGTGGCACCTCGTTCCGGGCATGCTTCCGTTCCCGGAAGGAGGTGCCACCAGCTCGAGGGGGAGGGGAGGGAGCACCCCCATAGCTGGTGGTAGTGGTACTAGTGGCCCCCTCGTTCGGAGGTGTGCGTCTGGCGCTGCTCGCGACCCTGGGATTCGCTGCTGCAAACAAAAAGTTGCAGCATCGCAGAACAAAAATCGCCACCGCACCCCCGGACCCCATCTGTCTGCGTCATTCTTCGAGCGGCACCGACCTGTGAGGGTCCCGGGGCCCGAACTTGAGCGAAAGCGCCCGGCTCGAAAAAAAATGAATCGCCAGGATCTCAGTGGGACGCTCTCCTGCAGAGTCGTCTTCCCTCCCGTGGCCCAGGGCGCTCTGTCGGTGTGGCTCGACCTCGCGGGCCACGGCGGCAGCGTGCTCTCTGCGACCGTCCGCTTCGAGGGGGCGGAGGGTCAGCCCGCGCCAGGCCGCCGGGCCGGCAGCCAGGGCAAGGAGGGGGGCGGGTAACGGGGGGGGGGGAGCGGGGATCGACGAATAAAACGCCAAAAGCATGAACTGTTGGCACTCTGCGCGGATTTCTTGGATCCGCGCTGAGCCCCCTGGCGGCGCCTCCGGCGCCTCCCCTGGCGCGCTCCGCGCGGCAGGGAGGGGGGTACAGCGCAGATCCAAGAAACCTGACTGGACAAGAACGGGAAGCATCGCTTGTGTCCATTAGGTATGTGAAGTATGCTCTTTTGTTGGTACGTCGCGCAGATCTGTCGTGGCGTGCCTGGGTTTGCGCGTGCGCGTGCGTGCGTGGAATATGTGCATGTGTGTCCGTCCGTGGTGGTCTGCGGCACGCTGTGCTATGTCGTGCTGCTCTGCCATGCTCCTGCGGTCTGCGTGAACGTATGTTGCCTCTCTGTGTGTGAATGTGCGTGTGTGTGTACTTATGTGTTTGTGTGTGCGTGTGCCTATGCCTGTGCCTGTGCCTGTGTGCGTGTGCCTATGTGCCTGTGCCTGTCGGTGCGGCTGTGCGAATAGATGTTCTGTGTGTTCTGCCGTGCTCCTGTGTGCTCTGCCGTGCTCATATGTGTTCTGCCGTGCTCCTGTGTATTCTGCCATAGTCCTCTGCTCTGCCGTGCACCTCTGTGTTCTGCCGTGCTCCTGTGTGCTCTGCCGTGCTCCTGTGCATTCTGCCGTGCTGCTATGTGGTTTGTGTGATCTGCCGCGCTCCAGTGTGTTCTGCCATGCTCCTGTGTGTTCTGCCGTGCTCCTGTGTGTTCTGCCGTGCTCTGACGTGCTCCTCGTGATCCTGCGTGTTCTGCCGGGCTCCTATGTGTTAAAGTTAAAGTTAAAGACGGGGCCTTCAAGGCAAGCGGGAAAACACGGACAGGGCCAGACGGGACCCACGTTCCCGAGAGAAGCCGAGTCCCAAGCGAGCACCGAGGCGACGGAAGCCTACTCATCACGGGGAGCAGCTGGCGCGAGCCTCACCGATGCACACCTTTCATCACTCACGGTCGGATCGCCACGGCGCGCCAGGCGGCGGCGTACCCTGCGGTCCTCCAGGGTGCCGACTGCAGTATTGCCGCGGCGGCGAGCTCCTCCTCGGCGATCCCGAGGGCCCCAAGGAGCCCAGCTCTCGTCGCGGCTGGGCGCCGCAGAGGCTGGCTGGCAACGGTCGTCGCGACGGGCGAAACCGCGGGGCCTCGCCCAGTCCGTCCGCCACCTCAGCTCAGCGGCTGCCGCTGGGGCGCTGCCCGCACTGCTCGCAGCGGCCGAGGAGTCGACTGTTGGCTCCGCTGCGATGCCAAGCCACTCCAGGTGCCGCTCCTGCGCATGCTCGGGCACAGGCCCCTGCGAAAGCAGAGCAGGGATGCCATATCCTTTCACTTTGTGCCTGGCAGCTCGTGACCCCTCTTGCATTCTGCCTCCTGGATGGAGTCCCCGTGGCCACAGGCTGCGCTGGTTCCTGCCCGCCTCGTCGGCTTTGCCGCCTGGGCAGCGCTCCTTGAGGCGAGGCCTCTCACCTGAGCGGCCGCCCAGCGTCACGTAGGCGCCGCACGTGGAGCACGCCTCGAGCTCCTGGGTGTCCTCACCTTCTCCAGCGCAGGCGTAGGGCAGGGCGTGTCCCAGGATGCTGAAGGCTACGGCTCTGGCCGAGAGGGCGGCCGAACTGCTGCCAGTCGAGCGAGCTCTCTCCAGGCGTGGCCGCTTGGCTATCGGCCCAGCGCCAGCGGTATCCTCCGCCGCCTGGGGCTCCTCGGCGGTGGCAACTCGCACCTGGCGCCGCTCAGCAGCAGGAAGGAGCCCTTCGCAATCCTTGGCCGCGATGCCGTGCCAGATGCTTGCGGCCCGACAGCTCCAGCGCCCGAGCTCCTGCACGATGTCCGCCTGCGCGTGGTGGTGCTTCTGCATGGCCTGCCGTGTTCCCGCGTGCCCCGAGCGACTCCACGCCGCGCTGGCCGCAGGCCCATCCTTGTGGAACGGGTCCAGCCCCACTCCCGCGGCACGGGGGCGGCCCGCGCGCACGGCGCACGGCTCCAGGGGCTCGTACTCGGCACCCATGTACATACTCCTCGCCCCGCGAAGGCGGCGCCCGTGCAGAGGTTCCTGGCCTGCAAGGCCTTACAGAAGAAAGTCCAACCCTGCGTTTCCCAGCGCCCGCCTGGTGGAGCACGTGCATACCTCGAAGTGCCCACGGGTCGAAGCCATGCTCGACTCCGCACCGCCGCAGGAAGGCGTGCCGTAGGTTCTCGTAGGGCTTGGTGATGTCCAGGCAGAGGCTGGCGGAGGCAAACCCCCTCACTCGCACAAAGGCGGCACAGGCGCTGCGCAGCCAGCTTGCCTTGTCAAACTTGCGGTCCATCTTGTCCCAAAAGACGCGGTGATCGTGTTCCGCCTCCCACAGCGCGCCGACAGGCTGCCTCGGGCTGCCCCAGATGCGCATGAGCCGTGGGCCGTTCACTGTTGGTCGGACTCCTCCGTCCGACTGGGGAAAGAAGACCGGCATGGCAGCGCGGGCGCCCAGGGGCTGGGGCAGCGCCTCCTCCTCGGCGCCGCTGCTCGCGCGTATGCGCTGCCCCGCCGCACTGGCCCTGCTAGGCACTCGCCTGCCCTGGCTGCACTCCTCCGTTGCTGCTCCCAGCTGCGTGGCCAGCAGGGCGAGCAGCCAGAGGGGCCAGGTCCGCTGCTTCAGCGACCAGCTCCTTCTTGCATGCCTGGGACACTTGCGGCCACTCGCCGTGCGCGCTGTCGTGCCGCTCGGCTTGGCCACGTTCCACTGCGGCCTGCGGCGGCCAGGGCACGCTGCCGCCTGCGAGCTCGCCATCGTCGCTGCTGATCTCGTCCATGGGGCAGGACTCTCGGGGGCTGGCGGGGGCACCGCGAGCTGCGCCCGCACCGCCTCCACCTGGGCGCGTATGGCCGCCCATGCCACCTCGAAGTTGCTGGAGCCCCAGGACTCTGGCAGCTTGTCCAGCTGCGTGAGGAGCCCTGGCACATGGCTGGCTCCAGCCCAATCGGCTGCGCGCTGGCGCCGCCGCTCCTCCGCCTCTTCGCGGGCTGCTTCTTCGAGGACCTGGAGCGCCCTACTGGCCTCCTCCACCTCGCCGTCGAGCGCCGCGAGCTCGTCCTGAGCCTTCTGCAGCTGGACCTCAGCGAGGTCCCGCGCCGCCTGTGATGGCGTTCGCCTCCTTGTGTAGCAGAGCTGACCGCGGCATTGCGGAGGCCTTCTGCTCCGCTGCCTCCTTCTGGGCGCTGGCCAACTCTGCCCTCTTCGCCTCCAGCTGGTTGGCCACGACGTCCGTGAAGCAGCTGTCGACGCCGTCGGGTGGCCCAGCCAGCAGCGCCTCGAGCCGCTCGACAGTTGCCTGCAGCCTCTCGATCGCCGTGCCTCCTCCGTTGCTGGGCGTCCCACTCGCCGCTGAAGCCGAGGTCTGCGACTTGGTGGATGCCGTGCGCGACGCTGCGCTGCGGGCCTGCCGCTGGGCCCGACGCCCCCGAGGCTGGTCCACCCAGCCGTCCTTGTCTGCCTCGGGCTTCGCCTTGCCGCGGGGTGATTCCAGCGCCCAGGGCGGTGCGGCATACCCACAGCTGAGACACGTGGAGCGCCAGTCCCAGTTCCAACTACCGCAGCTGTACATCCAGTAGGTCCTGCTGCGCCTGCCACTGCTGCCGCCACGCTGGGACCTCGCCATGGCGCCCGCTGCGCTGTCCGCTGGGCCACGCCCCCACGCTGCGAGAGCAAGAAGCACAACAAGGATTTGCACTGGCCCAAAGCGCGGAGACCCTCGCGCTCAGAGCGCCGCGAACGACTCGCGGTCGTCGGGCTCTCCATGGCCTTGAGCCAAAATGGCTACGGAGGGCTCCTATGTGTTCTGCCGTGCTCCTGCGTGTTCTGCCGTCAGTTCTGCCGTGCACCTGTGTGTCCTGCCGTGCTCCTGTGTATGCTGCCGTTGCTGCCGTGCTCAAGTGTGTTCGGTGGCGCTCCTGCTTGTTCTGCCGTGCTCCTCTGTGTGTTGTGTGTTCTGCCGTGCTCCTGTGTGCTCTGCCGTGCTCCTGCTTGTTCTGCCGTGCTCTGCCGTGCTCGTCCTGTGTTCTGCCGTGCTCTGCCGTGCTCCTCGTGCTCCTGTGTGTTCTGCCGTGCTCCTGTATGTTCTGTTGTGTGCCGGCGTGATCTGCCGTGCTCCCGTGTGCTCCTGTGCGTTAAAGTTAAAGTTAAAGACGGGGCCTTCAAGGGTGCTCCTGTGTGTTCTGCCGTGCTCCTGTGTGTTCTGCCGTGCTCCTGTGTGTTCTCCCGTGCTCTCGCGGGTTCTGCCGTGCTTCTGCGTGTTGGGCTGCCGTGATCCTGCCAGTTTTGTGAAGATGTCTCAGGCGAAAAGTTCAGTTTTAACAAGCATGGTCTCACATTAATAGTTTCAACATCTGATTTGTTCGAGAATGCCTCAGGCGATAGCCCCATTTTCATACGTTGATGAAGTCGCGGTGTTCATTGTCCGTTGGATGCCGCAGGCGAAACGCTTGTTTTTTTGTAAGCGGTGGTGTTGCGAACAACTCAGTTTGATGAGGATGTCTCTAGCGAAATGCTAAGTTTGAGGAAGCTCAAGGGCGCTCTTGGGGTCATGTTGGGCCTCGTTTGGGGCTGCCTCGATGAAACATGCCAATACGAGGTCACGCACATCTTTGTTGAGGATGTCCCTCGCGACATCGTCATCTTTAGAAACCTGGCTTGGGCAGTTTGGAAGCTTGTTCAAGAGAGATCCCAAGACTGTTTTAGAACAGCAGTTTTCAAAACGATGCTGTTGTATGTTCTTCATTGGTTGAGGATATCCCTAGCGAGCTCGTCATGTTCGGCAGTTGTCAGGGCGCTCTTGGAGCCATATTTAGATTATGCTTGGAGCACGTCAAGAAAGATGTCAAGACGATGTTGAGAAGATTCTTTGTCATGAGGATGCCCCCGACGAAATGCATATGATCTGCCGTGCTCTTATTTCTGGTCCGCCGTGCTGTCGGGCATCTTCTGAGGGTGTCCCTAGCGAAAACGCATTGTTCAACATAAGCGGCAGTAGGACACTTCCGTCGACATCTCATTTATTGTGAGGATGTATCAGGCGAAACTCCGATTTCTGCCGAACAAGAAATTTCGCGAGGATCAGCTGTTCGAAGAGGTCTCGAGGGAAACGCTTGTTTTTAAACGCGATGTCGCGACGATCTCATTTTTTGTGAGGATGTTTCAGGCGAAATCGTTTTTACCTAACAGCGGAGACTGATAGGTTTCTAGTAGTGTCAAAAGAGAGCATCTTGACGCCCCAGGGGGGTCTGGGCGGGATCCGGACAAAACCGGCAGCCCCAGGAATCCTCAGGAATCCTTAGGAATTCCTAGGCATCCTTAGGGATCCATTCCCAGAACACCATTCCCAGGCCACATTTTGAATGCCCGGAGCCAAGGCCACTTCGTGTTCTTCGTGTTCCCAGAGCACCATTCCCAGGCCACATTTTGAATGCCCGGAGCCAACTGTAGGCCACTTCGTGTTCTTCGTGTTCCCAGAACATAATTCCCAGGCCACATTTTGAATGGCCAGAGCCAACTGTAGGCCACTTTGTGTTCTTCGTGTTCCCAGAGCATTCCCAGGCCACGCCTTGTATGCCCGGAGCAAACTGTAGGCCACTTCGTGTTCTTCGTGTTCCCAGAACACTATTCCCAGGCCACGCCTTGTATGCCCGGAGCCAACTGTAGGCCACTTCGTGTTCTTCGTGTTCCCAGAACACCATTTCCAGGCTACGTTTTGATTGCCCGGAGCCAACTGTTAGGCTGCGGCTGAGGCAGGCTGAGGCTGAGGCAAGCTGAGACTGAGCCTGAGGCAGGCTGAGGCTGAGGCTGAGGCTGAGGCTGGCTGAGGCTGAGGCTGAGGCCGAGGCAGGCTGAGGCTGAGGCTGAGGCAAGCCGAGGCAGGCTGAGGCAGGCTGAGGCTGAGGCTGATGCAGGCTGAGGCTGAGAGGCTGAGGCTGAGGCAGGCTGAGGCTGAGGCTGAGGCCGCGGCAGGCTGAGGCTGAGGCCGAGGCAAGCCGAGGCAGGCTGAGGCTGACGCTGGAGCTGAGGCAGGCTGAGGGTGAGGCTGTGGCTGAGGCAGGCTGAGGCTGAGGCTGAGGCAGGCTGAGGCTGAGGCTGATGCAGGCTGAGGCTGAGGCAGGCTGAGGCTGAGGCTGAGGCAGGCTGAGGCTGAGGCTGAGGCCGAGGCAGGCTGAGGCTGAGGCCGACGCAAGCCGAGGCAGGCTGAAGATGCGACTGCGAGAACAGCAGAATTCTACAACTGGATTCTCACCTGAATCTTAAGGGGAATGCTTCCAAAAATGTTTCTACACATCGCTGTTAGGTTGCTTTGCCGGGATAATTGTTTGAGGGATCCGCTAACGAATGGCCAGATGCAATCATCTACCTCATGCTGGTGAGATGTTTTAGATATGTTGCATATTCAGCCAGAACGTCCAGCTCGCTCATCCGCGCGGGGCGCCAGGCGTTTATGTTTATGGCGTGTCTGTTCCGTCCTGGAGGAGTCGGCGGGCTCCAGGGGGGCGGGGGGGAGGAGAGTTTTAGGTTGTTTTTGGCCGCTTTCCCGCCTCGGTGTGCTTTTTGGCTTTCCCATAGCGGCTGCGCCCCGTCGAGGGCCGCATGGGCGAATCCAGATCGCCCCGAACGGTGGCCCGAGGCCCGAGTTACGACCTCGACCTCAAAACCATCAGGCGTCGACAAGACGGGCGAGAAGCCAGACGAGGAAAAGGCACATATTCCGCACCGTTGCGTGGTTCGTTGCCTTTGTGGGGCCTCCTGCGAGGCCTTCGACCTTCGTCGCCACGGCTGGATTCGCCTTGAAAGTTTGGCCACAGCGCGCCCCAGGAGGGGCCTAGGGGAGGTATGTATCACGTGGTGTCCCCAAGGAGGGTTGCGGGTGGGGCGGGGGGGGGCCGAGGAGGGGGCGCGAGGAGGGCCGTTTGTGACCTCTTCGGGCCCCCGCGGGCCCCCTAGACCTTTCCACAAAGCCATCCTGGGATGAGGTGAAGAGCAGGGGAATATGTCGAGACTCTGTGGGGTCGAAGGAGAAGCAACTGTATCAACATGGCCAGCGTGGGCCCCAAACAGTATGTTCCGAGCAGTACATGGTGTGCACTCCTAGGTGGAGCTAACTAGGTTGTGCACTCTATGTGGTGCAATCCATGCTGTGCAAGATACGTTGCGCAGCCTACATGTGCAATAGATGTGGGGCAATCTGCGTGGCGCAGTGCTCTTCGCAGAACTTGAAGTTTTAAACTCTGCCCGCGCAATCATTCCAGCCGCCCACCCCCTTGCAACTTAGCTTGCAAAACCCATGTGGCGGTGATTGAGATGACTGCTTGGCGCTGGCTGGCGCCGCGCTGGCGCGCTCAGGCTCGCGCGCAGAGCGGCCAGCTAGTTTGGCGCGACCGACGCGGCCGCGGTGGTGCTGACCGCAGGCCGCGCTGACGCGCAGGCAATTCAGTGCGAGTCGGTGACTCGGGCGGGAGCGGTATCATGGCGACGTCGGCAACGTCAGACACGATTATGGTCGTAACGATGCTCGCGACGATGATGACGACGACGGCAAGGTCAATGGCGGCGCCAGTGCTGGTCACGCCGTTTTCGATGATGGTGTCCCCGTGTCGGTGGTGAATGTTTGTTTGGAGGATTTCGACATGCGCGCGCGGCCGGCGCGGGCGCGAGTATTCTCACACAGTATTATCTTGACAGGGTTCGCCCACCCCCCACCCCACTAGCATGCGCAAAGGCATTCGAATGATTTCGGCATGAGCGCGCGAGAGGCCCGATTGCTCGCATCGGATGACAAAAAAAGGCTGGCACCCAAGGGTTCCCCTTACCATTCGCGATAGAGTGCGCGCAGGTTGTTTCGATATCTGCGGTTGCACAGCCCTGTTATTTCAGATGTGTTCGAGAGCATCGATTTTGACACCCGTGCGGCATTTTGATTTTTTAAGCAAGCAAGCGCATGCGCACGACGCCGCGCGCGTGTGGGCTCTGTCAACGTTTGACAACGAGTTTTTGGAAACAGATGGGTGTTGTCATACTTCGAGCGCGCACATAGTAGTTGTGCGATCCCTTGGCGGACCGATGATCCCTGGGGCGGGGCGGTAAATCCCAATGAATCAACCCCACTGTTCTCGCAATCTCCCCAATCACCCACCGCAGCTTGGCTTGCAAAGCGCATGCGGCGGCGATTGTGATGCGTGCATGGCGCTGGCTGGTGCATCTCGCAGGGCCCTTCAAGCTCGTCGCCGTCCCCTTCAAGATGGCCCTTTTTGATCGTTCTCGACGTGGACGGCGGGGCCGCCGCGCCGAACCCGCTGGGCGGGCTCACGGCGGCACGGGCCTCCGTCGACCCGCCGCCGCTCGCTGCGCCCCGCGCGCGGGCTCGCGGTCGTGCGGTGCTTCCCTATGCGCGGCGTTCCGCCCGCGCGGGCGGCCGAGGGCGGCGACGTGTGCTCCCGCGCGACCGATCGACCGCTTCGTGGGGCTCGGGGGCCCGCTGCTCGATGCCTCTCCTCCTCCGTCCCTCTGCAGCGCTGCGGTGCTGCGCGATCCCCTCGGCCCGGGTCAGGGCCCGCCGCCCGCGGGCCGCGGGGGTGTTAAAGGGACCGGCACGGGCCTCCCTTGTAAGCAAGAGCTGCG